GATCCCTGCGGCACTCCACAGATGAGAGGCCTCGAGGTCGACCTCTGCCCCCCTGCCAACACAAACTGCGACCAGTCAGAGAGAAAGGAGGAGAACCACCACAATACGGTGCCTCCCACCCCCAACTCTTCCAGCCGGTGCAGCATAATACCATGGTCGATGGTATCAAAAGCCGCTGAGATGTCTAACAGGACCAGAACAGAGGAGCAACCCCTGTCCCGAGCCCTCCAGAGATCATCAACCAACGCGACCAATGCCATTTCCGTGCTGTGCCCAGACCTGAAACCCGACTGGAATGGATCTAGATAAGATGTTTCCTCCAGGAATTGTGGAAACTGTCGCGCGACCACAGTCTCAACAACCTTCGCCATGAAGCGAAGGTTGGAGACAGGACGATAGTTGGCCAATATTGCCGGATCCAGGGACGGCTTCTTGAGGAGAGGCCTCAACACCGCCTCTTTCAAGGCAATATGATATGATATGATATGATATGATATGATATAATATAATATAATATAATATAATATAATACAATACAATACAATACAATACAATACAATACAATATAATACAATACAATACAATAATATAATATAATATAATATAATATAATAATATAATATAATATAATATAATATAATATAATATAATATAATATAATATAATATAATATATGCACATATATAATATATGTACAAAATTGGAAAAATAATAATACACCAATGGAAGAAAATTTGTTTAGAAAAGTTTTGGAGTATGCAGAGATGGATAAGCTCACAAAAGAAATAAAAGAAAAGGAGGAAACAGAATACTATATGGCAGGGGTGAAATCCATCAGGTTCTGACAGGTTCTGGAGAACCAGTAACAGAAACTTTGAGAAGAGAACCGGCAGCGGAAATTTTGAGTAGTTTGGAAAACTGGCAAATACCACCTCTGGCTGGCCCCAGAGTGGGGTGGAAATGGAGATTTTGCAATATCTTTTCCCAGGAGTAGGGAGGGAATGGGGATTTTGCAGTATCCTTCCATGCCACTCCCATCAAGCCATGCCCACCAAGCCATCACCCCATGCCCACCAAGCCATGCCCACAGAACCGATAGTAAAAAAAAAATTGGATTTCACCACTGCTATATGGTATGGGAGAAATGGTATGACTGGTTAGAGGAGAGGTATGAAGGGCAAGGAAAGAGTAAATGAGGAAGAGATAGGAGTTGAAAAGTAGTAACAAACAAGTGGAAATGGAACAGACATAGAATGTATGATTGAAATTGAGTACATTGTTATCTTCATGTATATAAATCAATATTAGAATCATATGTATAAATGGTAAATTGAAGTAAGGGAGAAAAATGGATATGTAAGAAATGTTTACTGATGCGAAAATATTGAAAAGAAGAAGATTGTAAAAAATTCTTTTTTTGTTTTAAAAAAACCCTGTTTAATAAAAATTATTTTAAAAAATAAAATTAAAAAAAATGCTAAATCCAATCTGAACATCTGGTGATTGTGTGACCAAACATAGTAATACTCAGTGAGGCAGTTCCTTGAGTGCCAGTGAGGTACTACCTTGATGTAGTTGTGCTCTGAGGAAGGTGAGATCAAAGCCAGAGGTTCAATATTTCTGGACAGGTGTCATCAGAAGAATCAGACAAAAAGGGTCTGTCCCATTAAATATAGTGAAACGTAAGAAACAGAAACCCATACGTCATTGCCCGTGTCAACAAGGACCATGCTAAGGTTTTGTACTTACTGGACATCTTGTGAAAAATGGCCTACAGGACTGTGGACTAAGCAACCAGGGCCAGCATCTGCAGAACTACTGGAAGGAAAGGTGTTTACACATCACAGTGTTGACACAGTGACTGAAATTAAAGCAATAACGATCTATTAATACAGATCAAGTCCAGGAATTACAAGATATTTGAAATGAATGCACCATTTCTGGAAAATAAAACAATATCTAGAACTGGAAATAACAAAACAGAGGCTAGCAGATGAGTGATGATTTATAAGGGGAGGAACAGGCTCAGGCTCAACCCATCCAAGACCGAGTGGCTGTGGTTTCCGATGTCCCGATATAGTCAGTTGACGCCATCTCTGACTATTGGGGGCGAATCACTGGCCCCCACGGAGAGGGCTCGCAACTTGGGCGTCCTCCTGGATTCACGGCTGTCTTTAGAAGAGCACTCGACGGCCGTGACCGGGAAGATTTTCTATCAGGTTCGCCTGATTCGCCAGTTGCGTCCCTTTCTGGATCGGGACTCGTTACGCACGGTCACTCATGCCCTCGTCACCTCCCGCCTGGACTATTGTAATGCTCTCTACATGGGGCTCCCCTTGAGGAGCACCCGGAGGCTCCAACTGGCGCAGAGTGCGGCCGCGCGGGTGGTAATGAGAGTGACATGGAGCTCCCATGTAACACCTCTCCTGCACGAGCTGCACTGGCTCCCGGTGGTCTTCTGGGTACACTTCAAGGTTTTGGTTACCACCTTTAAAGTGCTCCATGGCTTAGGACCTGGGTACTTGCGGGACCGCCTACTACCACCAATAGCCTCCCACTGGCCGGTACGCTCCCATAGAGAGGGGCTCTTCCGGGTGCCGTCAGCCAAACAATGCTGACTGGTGGCCCCTAGGGGGAGAGCCTTCTCTGTGGGGGCACCTACCGTCTGGAATGAGCTCCCCCCAGAGATACGGAGGATCCCGGATCTGCGCACCTTCCGCCGCGCTGTGAAGACTTTTATTCCATCAAGCAGGCTTGGCCTAATCTCCTCCCTCTTTTAATATATAAATTTTAAATCTGTTCTTAAATTATTGGGGTGTTTTAATTTGTCTGGGCCAAAATGATTTAATTTGATTTTAACTGGTTTTTTAAATTTTTGTATTTATGTATTTTATTGCTTGGTTGTTCACCGCCCTGAGTCCTTCGGGAGTAGGGCGGTATACAAATCAAATAAAACTAAACTAAACTAAACTAATATGAAATAAAGTATTCACAGAAGCTGAATTGGAAGAACTGAAAAGGTCTACTCAGAGCAAAGAAAGCTAAGCCTTTTCAGAGGTAACTCATACAGTAGAGGCAAACCAGGAAGAATTGACAATGCAGGAAACTATGCTTAATGCATTGTAAGCCGCCCTGAGTCTCCAGAGAAGGGCGGCATATAAATTAAAGGGAAAAAAAAACCTAGCACAGCTATAGAATTGCTTTCATTTGGAAACCAAGTACCCTATTCTCTGCCTCAAAAAGAATAAAGTCCTGTAACTGAAGAACCAGGAGAATTGAATCAAAGAATAATTGAGCATCTAGAAGAGCACAAAAACCTAAGAATAAGGTTGCCTGCATTGAAGTTTGTTCCAAATAAACAACTAGAACAAGTGTTAAGAAACACCAATATCAAATATAAGCACCAGCTCACTGTAAGAAACAACCCAACTAATCTAGAGCACAGTTGCAGTTTTAACTGAATACCTAAGATGCAAAATCAACAAAGAAGAATAAAGCCAAACAGTGTGCCACCAAAATGAATGATAAGGCTGGAAAATAAAATTAGCAAGCTGAGATTGATTTATTACTAAGTGTCTATGCCATCCATCTTTCCAAGATAATCCTAAACCATTTATATTCATATAATTAAAATATGATAAAGAGTCTTAAAACAATAAAAATGCATATATTTCAAATTTGGTTAATATTCAATTAACCAAGATGGAAGAGGGGAGTAAATTATGCATGAGGAGAAGGTAGCAACTGATTAATCCATTAACCACCATCAAGACACCAGTCCCTCATTGGGGTTCTTGCCCATCTTTCAACCTTTCAAAGGGCCAGAAGGTTGGATGTGGATCTCACCTCAGCAGGCATGATATTCTGAAGTAAAGGAGCCACAGCAGAGAAGACTCTACTCCTGTACTCTGTCAGCCAAAATTCCTTGACCAATGGGATCCACAGCATGCCTCTTTTGCCAGCATGTGTGAACAGTTAAACCCACTGGAATGAGATGGTTCCTCAGATAACTTGGTCTCAAATTCTTTGCAAATTTCAGCCAGGGCTCACTGAGACATCTCATTAAGTGGCACTGTGTGCCTCTCATTCAAAACTATCTGTAGAACTATTACAAAACTGCTATAAAACTATCTACTCAAAACAGATGTATGACCATTGAACCTCTACACACTTATTCAAGTGTTGCAAAACTCTTATCTACTCAGAGTTATGACCATGAAACATGCTGTCCTACACAATCATACTTGGTTGAATCTCTTAAAAAGAGACTATTATGCAAATTGGAAACTAGCAGTGGTGAAATCCATTTTTTTTACTACCGATTCTGTGGGGTGGCTTGGTGGGTGTGGCTTGATGGACATGGCAAGGGAAGGATACTGCAAAATCTCCATTCTCACCCCACTCTTGTGGGAAGGATATTGTAAAATCTCCATTCCCACCTCACTCTGGGGCAAGCCAAAGGTGGTATTTGCCAGTTTTCCGTACTGCTCAAAATTTCCGCTACCGGTTTTCTGAACTGCTCAAAATTTCCACTTCCGGTTCTCAAGAATCTGTCACAACCTGCTGGATTTCACCCCTGGATACTAGCATGCATTAGACTTCTGATGGAATTTAATTGAATTTACTAGAATGATTTTTTTTTGCCGACTGCAGTCCTTTTTACACATTCTACTGCATATAAATTAAGATGACCAGTAAATTTACAATTTAATTGATACTTTTAGTCAGAGCTCACCATAAGATACTAAAATAGGTCAATAAATCAATAATGTCAATAAATATGTGAATACAATAATTTGTGCTGTAATTTATGTTTTTATAGAGCCCAGTTATAATTGCTTTCCAGAAGAAAAAAAAAACTTCCAAGCTCTTCAAATCTCAGGGGACAGGGCAATATAGAACATCACTGTCTCTGTACATTGTACTCTAGCTTAACTGTCCAAGTGGGGAAGTTCTCCAACATGTACGTTTAAAGAATATCAGGCAAACATAAACTTTTCTTAAAACTTTCTCTTCATGAGCTGGTGTTTATCGTTCAGTTCAGGTCTCATCACAATGATAAAACACTTGGGGAAAAAGATGGACACCAATAAGCCAGCACTGGAGGAGATCATGGAGAAGATCTCCACAGCCAGCATATATTTTCCCCTTGTGCTTAGATAGGTTGGAATAAAACACAACCAAACACTGCAGAAGACCAACATGCTAAAGGTGATGAATTTGGCTTCATTGAAGCTGTCAGGTAACTTCCTAGCTAGAAAAGCAGCAGAGAAGCTAACCAGAGCAAGAAAACCCATAAAGCCCAAAACACAGTAGAACATGACTGAGTCTTCATTGCACTCCAGGATGACTTCTTCAGACATTGACTTCATATCAAAATCTGGGTATGGTGGGGATGTTATCAGCCACACAGCACAAACACATATTTGAATAAGGGAGCAGGATAGAAGAATGAAACTGACCATCTTTACCCCAACCCATTTCCTCAATCTGGAACCAGGTTTGGTAGCCATGAATGCTAAAACCACAACGAAGGTTTTGGCTAAGACACAAGAAACTGCCACAGAAAAGATGAGGCCAAAAGCTGGTTGTCGAAGAAGACAAACAATTGTATTGGGCCTCCCAACAAATAAAAAGACACAAAGGAAAGAGAGGAGAAGAGAAACTAGGAGTGTATAAGTGAGATTCCGGTTGTTGGCTTTGACGATAGGGGTATCTTTATGTTTCATGAAGATTGTAATAACCAAGGTTGTCACTGAAGAAAAACAAAGGGAAAGAACAGTCAGACTGATCCCCAAGGGTTCTTCATAGGACAAAAAGGTGATCCGCTTTGGAATGCACATATTTTTGCCGGGATTTGGATATTGATCTTCTGGACATGGAGAGCAATCATCTATGTCTGAAAAAGAACACAGTGGAATTGATACAGTTGATTACAGACAGTGTTGTATCCCAATGTCTTAGTCCCATTATATTTGGAAATTTCCTACCCTTCTCCTTTGATATTTTCCCTTCTGGACACAGATGGCAATCATAGCAGCAAAATGACTCCCCTTCTTTCTTGGCCTTGCTGTGTCCTGTCTCACAAGGATCGTTACACAAAGATAAAGGTAATGCCTATCAATGAAAGGAGAAGAATATATTGAGATACAGAGAGGAAAGGAAGTGCTTGGAGAGTTTCTGTGGAATCAACAGATTTAAAATGAAGTAGCGGGATGACATAATTTTAGATGTAATTGCTCTGAAATTATAATTAATTAAATCTCTACAATAATTGTATTGATAGCCTTTGTTAACCATTATCACTCTTCAAAGACAATTGCTATGCTAATTGGTTAAAGTTGGTTTTCTCAACTTCTGAATTTTGATGTCAGCAAACTGATGAGATCTAGTGGTTGCAGCTTTTACTTCAAAACCATGTTAATTATGTCCATAATTAACAGAGAACCCGTAAAGAATACAATTGCTAGAAAAGTAAAAAAAATAAAAAATCAGGGGTGAAATTCAGCTGGTTCTATCTGGCTCAGGTGAACTGGTAATGCCGACAGTGGGCAGCTCCGCCCACCTGCCCAGACATCGTCATGTCCCGTTTTAGACTCTCTGTGCATCCTCAGATTTGCGAACTGGTAGTGAAGGTAAGTGAATTTCACCCCTGGAAAAAATGTACTGATATTTCTTCACCAGGACCTAGGTTAGTCAGAGATGATGCTCTGAGACTTTCATCAGTAAATATATTAAAATGAATGGAGACAAATCTAGATTCAAATAGCTAACCTGGTTAAAGCCTACTGGCCATGTGATGAAATTTACAGAAATATTGAAGAACTTCTCTGCTGTGGGATCTATCACTCCAACATTGGCCCTAAGAAAGGATTGGTTTGGGAATGTGATCCAGTTGATAATATCAAATCCACCAATGAATTCTCCATTTTTATCAAAGGAAATCTTTTCACCAACACTGTTGTTGAATCTGACACTTCTCAGAAAAGAATGAACCTGAAAAACACTGATATTCAGAGAGGAACAAACAGAGAACAGAACAAGGGGAGGGAGAAATAATTCATATATTCAAAATATACATATGAATGTTTGTTTAAACTTAGATAATATAAACACTTTTGTATTTAAGTTGTAGACCTGTATCAAACAAATAACATTTATTTTATTTATTTATTTATTATTCCAATTTATATACCGCCCTTCTCCTGAAGGACTCAGGGTGGTATACAGCCAAAAGTAAAAGCACACAAATATAAAATTTAAAAATGATTTAAAAGCATATTAAATAATTTGGCCCAGCTATTCAAATAAAACTCCTGTTTTAAAATTTTTAAAAATTTAAAAGTTAAAAAATTATGCCAGCCCGGCTTGTTGGAATAAAAACATTTTGAGGGCACGGCGAAACGAGCACAAGTTGGGAATCCTCCGTATCCCGGGGGGCAGTTCATTCAAGAGGGCAGGTGCCCCCATAGAGAAGGCTTTCCCCCTGGGGGTCACCAGTCGACATTGTTTGACTGACGGCACCCGGAGGAGCCCCTCTCTGTGGAAGCATACTGGCCGGTGGGAGGCTATTGGTAGCAGCAGGCAGTCTTGTAAGTACCCAGGTCCTAAGCCATGGAGCGCTCTGAAGATGGTAACCAACACCTTGAATTGCACCCGTAAGACCACCGGAAGCCAGTGCAGCTCACGCAGGAGAGGTGTTACATGGGAGCACCATGTCGCTCCCACAATCACCCGCGTGGCCTCATTCTGGACCAGTTGGAGCCTCCAGGTGCTCTTCAAGGGGAGCCCCATGTAGAGAGCATTACAGTAGTCCAGGCAGGAGGTGACGAGGGCATGAGTGACCATGCGCAAGGAGTCCCAGTCCAAAACAATCATTCTAACAAAGAGGTAGATATAACTTATCAGATTACTGACATAAAATTAACATAGAATTGGAAAATAAATACAGGAAATAAATAAATAAAATAAAATAAAATTAAGCTCTGTAGTTTAATGGTGAAAGCTACTTAAGCCAGATGAGTTGGAATAAATATATAATAAATACTAAGATGCTTGAAAGTACCATATAATTGTGTTGATTTCACAAACTACAAGCTAGGCTTCAGCAATACATGAACTGAGAACTAAGAAGTACAAATTATTTTTTTTAAAGGCAGAGGATATAGCAATTAAATTGCCAACATTTGCTGAGCAAAGTACTTCCAGAAAACCATCTACTTCTGCTTCATTCATGATGCTAAAGCCTTTAGTTAAAACCAGACATAGAACAACTGATTAATTCAAAATAGGGAAAGAGTCATTTAAATTATATGCAGAGTTAATTACATGAAATTCCAGGCTGGATGAATCACAAGACAGAATAAGCTGATATTATTTTAAATGCAGGAAACCAACCAACCAACCAATCAGAAGAGGTCTTCTAATCAAACCCTCTGCTCAAGCAGAAGATCCTATACCATTTCAGACAAGTGACTGTCCAATCTCTTCTTAAAAACTTCCAATGATGAAGAAGCCCCAACATCTGATGGCAAACTGTTCCACTAGTTAATTGTTCTGACTGCTAGGAAGTTTCTCCTGAATTCCAGGTTGCTTTTCTCTTTGATTAGTTTCCATCCATTGTTTTTTGTCCTGCCCTCTGGTACTTTGGAAAATAAATTGACCTACTCCTCTTTGTGGCAGCCTCTCAAATACTGGAATACTGCTATCATGTTCCCTCTAGTCCTTCTTTTATCTAGACTAGTCAAACCCTGAAACCATTCTCCTTATGTTTTTGTCTCAAGGCCTTTGATCATCTTTGTTGCTCTTCTTTGCACTTTTATCTTGATCAAGAACCTCTTGATGAGAGTAAAATGAGAGAGTGCCAAAGTAGGCTTGAAATTCAACATTAGAAAACTAAGATCATGGCATCCAGTCTCATCACTTTCTGGCAAATAGAAGGAGAAGAAATGGAAGCAATGACAGAATTGTTTTTTTGGGATCCAACAGATGCACTTGCTTCTTGGGAGGAAATCTATGGCAAACCTACACAGCATATTAAAAAGCAGAGACATCACCTTACTGATAAAAGTCTATATAGTGAAAGCTATAGTTTTCCCAATAATAATGTTTCACTGTGAGAGTAAGACCATAAAAGACCATTACAATTTATATTGATATTGTTTCCTGATGGCTTATTTGTACCCTATGACTATCATTAAGTGTTGTACCTTATGATTCTTGATGAATGTATCTTTTCTTTTATGTACACTGAAAGCATATGCACCAAGTCAAATTTCTTGTATATCCAATCACACTTGGCCAATAAAAAACAAATCTAAATCTGAAATATTTATGCCTTTGAATTGTGATGTTAGAAAAGAATATTCAGAGCCTCTTGGTCTGCAAGGAGAGTAAATAAATTCTGAGTGTCCTTTGGAAGACTGATACTGAACAGATACTGAGCTCAAATACTTTGGACACCTAATGAGATTAGAGGACTCATTGGAAAAAACCCTGATATAGGAAAGATTGGAGGCAAAAGGAGAAGAGGACAGCAGAGAATGAGATAGTTATATAGGGTCATCAATGCAATGAATATTAATTTGGGCAAATTCTGGAAGACAGTGGAGGACAGTGGGGGTCTGTGATGCGATGATTGATGAGGTCATAAAGACTCAGATCCAATTTAAGGCAACAGTCAAATAAGAAGAGCTTGAACCTTGACCAAGAAATATGAATTGAGAAAACATTTCAGAGAAGCTATACTATATCAAACAAAGAGGATATAATGGAGAGCTGAGCACATTGCAAGGTTCAGTTCTACAGCTCTTGCAAAAAAAATTACTCCTGACCGACATGATGTTGATTTCTCAGTCTGGTCTATCTTTTGGGGCTGAAAATGTCTTTGAGGTCTGTACGTACAAGACAACACAGAAATATTTAAGTACAGGTGGTCCTCATTCAATGGTTGCCTGTTCAGCAATCATTTGAAATTCCAATGCTGCAGAATGTATGGAATTTATGACTTCCTTGAAATTCCAGTTGTCGGAACACCCCTGTGGTCACATGATCACAATACTGGGAATTGGCCTTTGGATTTCTGACATTTGCAGCATCCCAAAGTTACAGGATTGTGATTTGAAACCTTCCTTGCTGGCTTTCCTCAAGCAAAGTCAATGAGGAAGCTGGAAGTAAGTTGGAAGTTGTAATCCATGAGGTGCTTAAATACCTGGGTAGTCCTTGCTTAACAATGGTAAATGGGAACTGCTGGAATTGCTTTTGCTAAGCTTCATGGTCAAATGACAGCATATTTTATCACTTACTGATGGAAATTCAGGCTCTAATTATATAGTTGAGTAAGGACAATCTCTAAAATGTACAGTATAATGGAACACAGATTTACTTTTAGAATATAAAATCTAAAATTAATCTGGAAAACTATGTTTAGAAACTATATTCTACCCACGAAATAAAGTCTCAATAGAAGAGATTAAGCAATGAGAATTGATGATCAAAAGGCAATGCCCTTTCTTTCATTTGATGTGCTCAAAGAGAGGCAGAATAAAAACTGCTGAGATGCTGAAATTTGAAATCTTGCACTAAGAAGGGCTAGTGCTTAAATATCCATTTTTAAATCTATGATTCTTTCATCACTTGTGAGTAGATATGTCTCACAAAAAGTAGGCTCAAAATATAATTCTACCTTAGTCCTCTTTTATGAAGCCACCTGAGATGTTAAAAACACTTTCACTCCCTTCCCTGCTTTTCCTAGAACCCTGTTCCTGGAAGCATATAAGGCTGTTCTCATTCTTCTCCATTTGTTTGCTCTAAAACTATGTATATTTTGCTCTTAATTTCTGTGTATAGAAATATGGATGACTTTCTAATGGTCTGTGAAGAGGTTGTACTATCTACAATCAAAGTACTGCCTGTGATTAAAAGCAATTATTCCAAAGTAAGCATCTAGAAGAAAAAGTAACTACTGCACATCAGGTGAATGGAATAGATCACCTCATTCTATTTATTAATAGACTGAACTTATGGCAGAATTATGGAATGTAGTAAGGAGGTGAATTCTCCGAAGGGAAGGGATGTTTTTCAGACAAGTAAAAGGCAACTCGGTTCAAAAATTATGTATGTGAGAAAGAAAATGAAAACTCCCCTTCCTGAATAGTTCACAGACTATGGAATGGATACATATGTTAAAGTGTTCAGTCTGGCAAGATTTTGTCTATAGGTATGAAACAAGAAAGTAATTATATGCCATTCTAAATTTTGGGCTTCAGAGGCGGTTAATTTCATGGACAGAAGTATATTCTAGGAGGTGTGGTTACAATTTTGTAGAATACCACTTACAATTTTAACATAAGCATAAAAAGCTTTCAGTTGGTTAATCTATTACTATATACAGTATCTCACATTTAAACCTAGTGTCAATCCCTCAAAAATTATTGTTCACTAAAGTTTATGGACACATCTTGCAATTGCAGATATGGTGGTTTCTGCACCACAAATTTACCTGCCACCACCCTTGATTATGAAACTGTTTCCTCCGTCCTTTCACGATTGCTGTTTCTCTGGATTTGTATATGTACAGAAATTGCAAAGCGTGTGCCACAGCATAGACTGCATTGTAAATATTGTAACTCTGACCACTCATTAGTGTCTCAAACACAGATGTGGGAAGAATCTGAAGCCTCTCCTGTCCAGTACATTTCTTTTCAGAGGTCTCAGTTTTTGAGTTTGGGAAGAAACAATCGAATGCCTGTTCCCAAAAATCTTTTCGAAAATGATCATGCTGGTTGTTGTTGTTTGGATTTAAGTTTTGAATAAATTCTTGGAAATCTTGGACCTCCTTTGTGTGAACTGCAAAAGATAAAGCCCCATGTAGGAAATGGATATCCCAAGATTTATGAATGGAAACTGAAGTGTAATCTGACTGAGCAGTTATAAGCCAAATCTTAGTCTTCTTTGGTATGTCCTCCACTTCTGAGAACTGGAGGCAACTACTCAGGACTGATATGG